CCACCATGACGCATGCTGTGTTGGTGGGGATTGGATTCAGGAAAGGGAGGACAGTTGGAGGCCAGCCTGTCCACGTGCTGCTCAGCACTCAGCTTGTCCCTCGGTGTTGGGGATGGACAGGTTCTTCCTGATGACCGGGCTCTGTGTGTGGAAGGTAGAGGTGTGGCCTGGGCTCAGCCTGTCCTGGCTCGGAGGCCTTGCAGTAGCACCTGAAGGGCAAGCGGGGAGCAGCTGAGTGCTGCCTCAGTGTGTCCACTGACTCACGTGTCAGGCAGCCCTACTTTGCACTGGGCACCTTGCTGGACAAAGGCAGGATGTGAAAGCAGGAGGGCTGGAGATGGCGGGGGCAGGTGGGGTGGTGGTGCTTGGAGAAGGGCCTGGGGGTAAGCAGGGCGTGGCTGCTGGGTGGGATTTTCTCTCTGCAGAGGCCTGTGTGTGCAGAGCCCTGAGGCCAGAAGACAGTTTTCTTTTCACGGGAGGTGTGAGTATGGGCACAGCTTGGAGGACGGGAGCCCTAGTAAGTTCTTTGTAAGCAGCTGGCTCTGGGTTGGTTACTCTACTTGAAGGGACCTGAGTAGAGACAAGGGGTTACTCCTGTCCATGGAGGAGAGGTACTTGTGTGTGGGGCCTTTAGGATGACAGGGGTGGGAAGGTGGTACCCACGTTCCTGTATGGATGGTTGTGGGTACCATACTGTGTGATGTGTCTGCTTTTCTCAGGGCCCCTCACACTCTGGGGCAGGTGAATCTGAGGGGATGGAAGAGTGAGCTTCACAGCCTGTCAGAAGTCTGTCATGTACGCCTCCTTTCTTTGAGCCTCAGATGGGCCCCGTGGAGCTGAGAGCCCAGCATGTAATGCCTGGGCACCGTGGGGCTGGTTGTGATTACGCAGCTGTGTCCAGAGGCCTGGATGTGTCTGGGCAGCATCAGGGTGGCAGCTAGGTGATGCTCTCTGTAAGGCAGGCTAGGTGCCTGCTCCTTCCCTGCCTGCAGCCCACCCCGCCCACTTGGCTTGATGCAACCCAGACCTGCCCGGGGAGGGTGGTGTGGGGGGAGGGGATGAAGAAGCTCGCGTGGTCCAGTCTGCAGCCTTCAGAAACTGCCTGTGCCTGTGGCTTCAGGAAAAGCTGGTGGCCAGGCCAGTGAGCTCACGCAGTGCAGCTGAGGCCATGGCAGGCTGCTTGGCCTGGGGCTGGCCCCTGTGGACTGCAGAAGCCTTCATGGCTAAGCCTCTTTGCTCTTGGGTTGCAGTGGGTCCTCTTCCGGGAGGCATATGCCTGTGTGTGTGGAACGAGTATCCTAAAGTAATAGGTTTTTGGTTTTTTATTATTTTTTAATTAAAATTTTTATTTTGAGATCATTATAGTTTTGCATGCAGTTGTAAGATACAATTCAGAGAGATCCTGTGTATTCCTTACCCAGTTTCCCCCAGTGGCTGCATCTTATATTAGTAACATTACAGGACATTGTCACAGTCCTCCTGTCCTCTTACCTCTGCTGCCTCCTTAACTCCTGGCAGCTGCAAGTCTGTCTCCATGTCTAGAAATTCCACATTTCAGCCATGTTTTGTCAGTGGAATTGTACATCACGTAACCTCAGGGTTGACTTTTCCACTCACCCTAATTCTCTGGAGCCTCATCCAAGTTGCGTGTATCACCAGTTGCTTCCTTTTAATTGCTCATTAGTATTCCATGGTGTGCACGGATTAACCACTCATTCGCTGAAGGACATCTGCATTGCTTCCAGGTTTTTCTTGGCCTTTACAAATAAAGAGACAGTAACCAGTCATGTACAGTTTTTGTGAAGTGTAAGCTTTTATTTCTCTGGAATAAATGCCCAGGAATGCGATTCCTAGGTTATGTTGTAGTTGGATGTTTGTTTACTTATTTATGGCTGCACTGGGTCTTCAGTGCTGTGCCCTGGCTTTCTCTAGTTGCGGCGAGCAGGGGCTATTGTTCCTTGCAGTGCTTGGGCTTCTCATTACTGTGGCTTCTCTTGTTGCAGAGCACCAGCTCTGGGTGTGCAGTTGCAGCACGTGGACTCAGTAGTTGTGGAGTGTGGTCTTAGTTGCCCTGTGGCATGTGGAATCTTCCCAGACCAGGTATCAAACCCGTGTTTCCTGCATTGGCAGATGGATTCTTATCTACTGAACCATCAGGGAAGTCTAGTGTTTCATTTTTTTAAAAAATGATTGTAAGTAGTACTTTTAGAAAATATTTGTTTTGCTGTGCTGAGTCTTAGTTGCAGCACGTGGGATCTTCTTCGATCTTTGTTGGTGCGGCATGTGGGATCTAGTTCCCTGACCAGGTATCGAACCTGGGCCCCCTGTATTGGGAGCTCAGAATCTTAGCCGCTGGACCACCAGGGAAGTCCTAGTATTTTAATCGTTCTCCCCTTCCGGGATGCTGATGACACAGTTGGATCTCTTGTTGCAGCCCCGCAGGTTCCCTCAGACTCTGTTCTCTTATTCTTCAGTCTGCCTTCTCTGTGTTGTCTCTGCAGTTCTGTTCTTTTGTTTTCCAGCTCACTGATTCATTCCATTGTTCCCATCTTTCTGCTTTTTGAGCCCATCTGTTGAGCTTTTGATTTAGTTATTGTATTTTTCAGTTTCAGAATTTTCACCTGGCTTTTACAGCTTCTGTTTCTTTGCTCAGGCTCTCATGTTTTCATGTATTCCAAGCATGTTCATAATTTGTTGTTGAACCATGTAGCATGGCTGCTTTAAACCTCCATCAGATAATTCCGACATGCCTGACACCTGGTGTTGGCATCGACCTTCCTGGTTCTTGGTATCATGGTGATTTTTCACCCTGGACAGTTTTGTGTCATGCTCAGCGACTTTGGGCTGTGTTTGACCTTTCTCTTTCAGTCGGGTTTTTCTAGCACTGCCCAGCAGGGGAAGCAGGGCTGCTGCCTCCTGCCTCTTGGTGGAGGTAGGAGTCTGGCTCCTCACTGGGCTCTGTGGACACTTGAGGCAGGAGGCGCGTGGTTGCTGCCATAGGGGGCGGGGTGCAGCCCCTCAGGTGTCCTCCTCGGATATCAGGGAGGGGGACGGGACCTTTATTGCTGGGTGGGCAGGGCAGTCCCAGGCCCCTGCCTGCTGTCCCAACACCTCACCCTACTGAGTAGGAAGTCTCTGGAAGTCTGGCCTCTGCTGGGGGATGGTGGGAGTGTGGCGGTGTCTTTTCTGTCCGGCTGGGGTAGGCTGGTTACTCTGTAAGAGTTCTTTGTTTTGCCAAGTCGTCCCTTCCCTGGTTCTTCGACTAGGGAGAGCCTTTTCTGGGGCTTTTTCTGTCTGTGTCTCTTGGTGCTTCCATATGGCCTCTCCTCCAGACCCCAATCTGGGACAGTGAGGCCAAAAGAAACCCAGGCTGCACAGCTCCCGGTGGTGCCTCGACTCCTGAGTACCCAGCCCCTCTGCAGTCTTCTCTCCCGCTTTCCAAGTCTCCTTAGGTTTGCCTAACATGCAGTGTCCAGGCTTTTATTTGTGCTTAGTGGGAGGCATAGGGACATTAAACATCCACCCCATCTTGAAGCAGAAATGTCAAGTGAGCATTTTCGAAAGGGCTTTGGGCTGAGGAGGATGCCCCAGCCACCAGCAAGCAGCATCTTTGCAGAGGTCAGCGGAAGTGCAGCCTCTGGTTTATTGGTGTGTGAGGCAGGGCTGAGTTTAATGGAAGGGAGAGAGGCCCAACAGGTGGTCCCAGATGGTGACTTTTGCATAGGGACTGGACCAGTGGGCTTCTTCCCAGTGGCTTGCTTGAAGCAGAACTCCAAAGTCCCATCCTTTGGGCCCTCAGTATTGAGAAGAGTTACCTGCTTCTCCTGTCCCCCTGCCCCTTAAAGTAAACCCCAGTCACCCGGGTAGAAAATAGCAACAAAACCACAGGCCCCTAGGAGTTTCTAGAGCCCACTTCCTGTGCCAGCTGCCTTTGGGGTCACCAGAGTCTGTATGTCAGGTCACTGGGGGCTTCCAGGGGAGGTGAGGCGAGAACGGGAGGGATGCTGCCCTACAGACCTCTGGCTTGTGGCTTGTAAACCTCCTCTGTGGGGACAGAGGCTGTGTGGGGCGCTTCTGGACTCCCTGGCATGGCTGGGTTGGCTGTTGCCATTTTTAGACCCTTTGAGAAATAGTGGGGGCAGCAGCTGCTTGTCTGGGGCACCCTTCTTATGGACCGAAGACAGGTGGACATGTCTAGCTTGAGGTTCCCTGAGGAGCAGGAGGCTCAGAGCGCGTGTCCCTGGGTGCGGCTTTCCAGGCTTGTGGAAGGGGTTCCAGGTCTGGAGCCCTCAGTGAGAGGCGCTGACGAGTTGTGGGAGGGTGGCAGCTGAACCAACCCCATTGGTGAACGGGCTCCCGCCTCTGTCTTTGCTTCAGCTATGCCCATGATCACCAGTGCTCCCCTCCCTGACCACTGCCTCCTCACAAGTCATTTGTTCCCTGTTTGCTTGTTGTGGACTGTGAACCCATGGAGGGAGAGCAGTTTCTTATTTATCTCTGTTTTCTCACTGCCTGACATAGGCCTTGGTAAATGATTTTTTTTTTAATAACTTTATTGAGATGAAACTCACCTACTATATATAGTTGACTTATTTAAACTGTGCAGTTCAGTGATTTAATGTATCCCAGAGATGTGCAACTATTATCACAGTCAGTTTTAGACTGCTTTCCTCCTCCCCAAAAGGAACCCTGTGCCCTGTAGCCATCACCCCCCGCAGCCCGTCCGTCCCCTCTGTCTTGGGCAACCCCTTCTGCCCTTTGTCAGGAGGGTTTGCCTTGGTAAATGCTCCTGCAGAACACTGCCCACTTCCCCGGGCTGCTGGAGGCCTTGTCTCTTGCTCCATGCCCTCCACTGGCCCAGCCTTCCCATCATTCAGGATTACCTACTCACCTGGGTGGAGTCTGGTTTGGGGTGATTCGTATAAGGAAGTCACACCAGATGAGGTGGGTGCTGGTAGGCTCGCCAAGGAGATGTTTGTTGAGCAAATAATTATGCTGCTTTCAGGTCAAATTCTGAGGGACCTGGCCAAGCCCGTGTCTCTCACTGCCCTTTTGAGGAAAGGACAGGTAGGTGTAGCTGACAATGTGGTCACCCCAAAGCCCTGGAGCCAGAAAAGAGGAGGATGGTATGTGATCGAAGCCAAACAGAAACTGAGGAGACAAGGCCTTGGGCTCTAACCTCCTGATGTCACAGGTCAGAGACCTGCAGGCCCCGTGGCTATGGTGGGGAGTCACCTGGCTGGGGTACACGGGGTCATTCTCCAGTGCCAACCCCTCTGTCCTGTGTGTGCATCTCTGAGTTGGGCAGAGAGATACTGAGTGTGCTTGTCTGCCTGGGGGATGGCTGGGTGCCTCTGGTGCTTGCTGAGAAAACAGACCTCTGTTCTCTTTGCTTCTGCTTTCCCAGGCAGTATTTCATCCCACATACTCCATGGTCCTTCTGGGCCATGTCCCTCTAACTCCTGGTTCCCTGCCAGCACCTACTCCCATGTTTCATCAAAGCCAGTCTTGCTTCCTTCCTTCAGCCTACTCCATACCCCATGCCCAAAACCCCTCTTTCTGTTCACGGGGAGAAGCCAGTGCTTTCCCTGGGTCTCAAGGCCCTGTGGGAGCCTAGACATGCTCACCCCACATGCTCTGTGACCTCGGGCAAGTGTTCTGCCCTCTGCGAGTCACAGATTCTACAGCTTTTCAAAATGAGGTGATGTGACAGGGCCTCCCAGTTTGGAAATGGGAGTAAAGCGCATGCCAAGAGGACCCTAAGGCTCTCCCAGGGGTAGTCTGTGTGTAAACAGCAGGCAGAGGGTTTGGGTTTTGATTTGTTTTGCTGATTGTGCCTCAGCCGCCCTTTTTCAGGTCTGGTGTGGCCAAAAAGAGAGGTGGAGTCTGAGTGTCTGTCTTCATCCTTTAACTCCTGTTGAACTCCTACTGCCAGGGTTTCGGGGGAGGGGGCACTCTTTGGATGTAAGAAATACAGAACTAGCCATCATTTATTAAGGCTTTTTAGGCCAGACACTGTACTTGGGTTGTTTTTTTTACCCCTCTTATACAATTTTTGAGATAATTGACATATCATAAAATTCAGTCTTTTAAAGCATTTGTTGTTCAGTTGCTAAGTTGTGTCCAACTCTTTTGTGACCCCACGGACTGCAGCCTGCCAGGCTCCTCTGTCCATGGGGTTCTCCAGGCAAGAATATGGAGTGGGTTGCCATTTCCTTCTCTAAGGGATCTTCCCGGACCAGGGATCGAACTGGGTCTCCTGCATTGACAGAATTCTTGTCAAGAATTCTCTGTTATTTCATTGACAGAAGCCCTTTTAAAGCATACAATTTAGTAATTTTCAGCATACTCACAAGTTCATGCAAATAACCCCACTATCTAATTCCAGAGCATTTTCATCACCCCCAAAGAAACCCCACACCTGTTATCAGCCACTCCCCATTTCCTGCTCCCTCGACATCTTGGCAGCCACTCGTCTGCCTCCTCTTTCTGTGGATTTCCTTATTCTGGACCTTTCATATAAGTGGAATCATGTAACTTGCGGTCATTTGTGTCTCCACTTAGCATAAGGTCTTTAAGGTTCAGCCATGTTGCAACGAACGTGTCAGCACTTCATGCCTTTTTTATCACTGAATGCTGTTTCGTTGAATGCATGGGCCAAATTTTCCATACATCTGCTGATGGACACTGGGGTTGTCCCTACCTTTTGGCAATTGTGAATAGTCCTGCTGTGAACAGTCACATCCAGGTTTTTACTTGAGCACTTGCTTTCAGTTTTCTTCGGTATGTGTACACCTAGGAGTGGAATTCTGGGCCATAGGGATTCTAAGTGTAACCTTTTAAGGAACGGCCAGACTGTTTTCCCAGCGGTCTTGCCATTTTCTTTTTTTTTTCTTGCCATTTTCTTTCCTGTGCTGGGCTGTGTTTCATCAATCGTCACATAAGATTTGTGAGGTGCAGATACAATTATTGTCACAGGCACCTTTTGCACATGAAGATAGAAACTGGGAAGGTTTTCAGCCCAAGGTCATGCAGCCGGTGAGTTGATGATTCTCTGGCCAGTGCTTGTGGTGATGGCTGAAGCAGTGTCTCTGCTCCCAGGCTTTGTACCCTCAGGATGAGGGCCTTTGGCCATGCTGGTCACAGGCTATCCCTGGTGCCTGATACTCACGTGGTGATGAAGAAAGTGACCCTGGTGGGTTGATCAGGAACTTGCAGGGTGGTGTCTGCTCTTAGGAGTCTTGTGTTCTCCATTTGTCCAGACTCCCGCTAGGTTTCGTTCTCCTGTCTCCATACCAGGTGCTCCAGGCCTGCTGGAGCCTCTTGCTCCCCAGTGTGTCTCCTGCTGGGAGTGGGCGCATGCATGGAGGGCGTGGAGCAGAGGTGGATTCTCTTCCAGCGGGCACTTGTCACCTTGGCATTAGCTTGCCCGTTGAACCTGTCCAAGGTCACTGATGACCGGCCCTCCTTCTCTCCTCTAGGCAAAGCCCATTTACGGCGGCTGGCTGCTCCTGGCTCCAGATGGGACGGACTTCGACAACCCAGTGCACCGGTCTCGGGTAAGGACTTCAGAGTGAATTCTTGGGGGAGGACTCACCAGAGAGGGCCCTCTGAGGCAGATGGACCATGGGAGGAGGGAGGTGAGCTGTGGGTCCTAGGATGGTAGGAGCCACAGGAAACCCTTACTCAGTGAGCTTGCAGAGCCCACAGGAACAGCCTAGTTACACATAGTTGCACCTTGCCCTTCATTCAGAAGAATGCTACCTGTTCTGTGGGTCAGCTCTAGAAACAGTTAAATGGAAAAGGTCAGAGGGCATTTCAGCACTTGTTTGCATTCTGCTCTTTAGGCTCCCAGTTCCTTCAGTGCTGGCGTCCTGTTCCTGCAGCCCCATCTTCCCCTCCTTTCCTCCCCAGCTGGGGGCTCAGCAGATGAGCACAAGTGAAGGGAGGCGGCCTCCAGGGCCCACTTGGCTTCTGTCCCATCTCTGCTGGGCACCCAGCCCCTGGGGGGCGGGTCCTGCGGAACACAGGCTGCTGCTCAAGCAGGTCTGAGAGGAGCAGGGAGATGTCAGACCAGCAGCACCCCAGTCAGTGCTTATTCCTTTGTCGGGGATCCCCTTGGATTTGGCTCCATTTGGCTCGCTTTCCTCTTCCATGCATGCTCCTCCGGGAACTGCCACCCACCCCTGCCAGCCCCTGATCCCGGGGGGCCTCTTCCCTGCCTCTGGGTCTCTGCTGCCCCATCCTGAGTGTCTCTGGGATGGGGCTGTGGTACCCGTAGAACATGCCTTGTATCTGGGGTCTTCAGGCTTCCTCTGGAATGGGTTTTAATTTTAAAAACAACCAACAGAAGCCTTGGGAATATTTCTCAGGAAGGGTGCAGGCCCTCTTGCAAGGCCATGTGAGTGCCCTGTGAAGACCACGGGGGCTACTGTGTTCAGTGGCTACAGTAACTGGGGGGCAGCCCTTTCTCCTGTTTTGTATTTAGGTCACAGAATTGCCATTTCCAGCTTCTGATGGGAAAATCATTATTATAAATGATATAATTCTGGTCCAAAGCAAAGAGCCATGATATTTTAGTTCATTCTTTTTTTTTAGTTCATTCTTGTGGCCTTATTGCCAGCAGAAGTATGAATTTTGTTGGACTTGTGGAAATGTTGAAGATAGATCATGGGTCTTCATGACGAGCTCTGAGATTTGGGGACCAACAGTCTCATGTTCTAGACATGCCCCCTACCGCCACACATTCAAAGGAAGGGCCTCTCTATTCCCCATGTCAGTGCTATTGGACCTCCCATCAGCCCCAGTGGCCTGGCCTTTGGGTAGAGGGCAGAGAGGGGCCCCTTTTTCTAGTCAGTCCCTCCCTGGATATCAGAACTGTTCCCACTGGTTGCCCCTCCTCAGTTTTGATTTTTGTTACTTCTCTCTTGTTCAGTGAATCTTGGAGCCTGGCTCACTTTCCCCTTCCTTACACTCCCTGTGGCTCACTGGAACAACCCTTTTACATCACTTTTCCAGATTTTTCAGAAGTGGGGAATCAGTGCCTAGCAATTCTCAGGTTATCCTATGGGTCAGGTAGTTTAACAAATTATGAATTCACACGTATTGTGTAATAAGCTCTGTGCTGGGTACATGAGGAATAGAGAAAGTTGATCCGGGCATGACTCCTGCTCAGGAGGAGCTCGCAGATTGAAACAGACCAGGCGGCCTTTTCAGCCTCAGTAACTGGAGACTTGCTGGGTGGTTGGGGCCTCTCGTTGGCGCAGTCCTGGCTGACGAGGCCCTGCTCTTCCACCCCTGCGGCCCCAGCATTGGAAGCTGTGCTGCCAGCGGGCCTTAGCAGCAGGCCTGTCAGGTGCAGGGGCTCCGCATGAGGAGGCAGGCCAGAACCCTCCCAACTCCTGTGTGTTCCGTTGCAGAAATGGCAGCGCCGGTTCTTCATCCTCTACGAGCACGGCCTCTTGCGCTACGCCCTGGACGAGATGGTGAGTGTCCTGTCTCCCCACCCCGTCCCAGCCTCCGCCAGGCCTTTTTCGCTCTCACTGCGGCTTCTGCGCCGAAGCCTGGAATTTTGAAGCACTGTGCAAGCTAGTTGCAGTGGCATTTAACAGCCCTGACCTTTGCTTTGAGGCACCTGCTGTGGCCACGGGTGAGAGTCAGTAGTGAGGGAGGAGGCCCTTTCTGTTCAGGGAGAAGGAGCCCCTCGGTTAGAAGTGGTGGGGCTGCAGGGCAGGTGGGGTGGCCCTGGGCGGGCCTGTGCCCGCTGGGCTCTGCAGGCCCCCCTGCCCTGGCCCAGGGCTCCTCTCAGGTTTGTGGCTGTGGTTGGTGTCGCTCATCCCATTTATTGTTCAGAGGCCTCCTGGCCGTGGGGTTGGTGTTCCCGTCACTAAGTTGGGGTGTACAGGCCCCGTCCTGTCCTGCCACCTGCCTGGTTTGCTTCCCACTTCTGAGCTGGAGGGATATTTACCAACCTGGTGGAATATTCTGACTTTTCTTTTCCACTCATTTTGTCTCCTGTCCTTTTCTCTAAAGGAGACGGTCTCTCCTAACTAATCTAAAGTATGAATTCCAAAATTGAGTACCTTTTCCTGTTCCTTTGGAATGCGTGAGTGTGTGTGTGCAGCATTTTTAATTGGGATGGTTCGGGAATATCTATTCACACGTGTAGCATGGTGGACCCCACCCTTTCAGAGTGCATCTGCTTACTGCAGGAGTGTGAGCAGAGGACGCTGCAGTCTGGTGGACACGTGGAGTTTTGGTGGTTGTCACAGCGGGTACATGACCAGGTCATCAGTGCTGTTTCCATGTGGGGGGTCCTCATCACTGTGATGCCGTGTGGTCATCATTTTGTTTACGGGACATGTTAATGGGTCTGGTATCTAAGGATGCAATTGATAGGTATGATACTTTGTTCTGTGTTGACTAGTGCCTCGTTTCCTTCTAAAAAAGAATTTTCTTCTTCTTTCTTTCTGATGAGGATGTTTGTCAACAAGGATGGGCTGCAGGGGCTTTGCTGTGGGCACATCTGTGTCCAGAGCAGCAGGAAGTACTGGGTTGGTGGCACTGTGAGGGTTGGGGTAGGGTAGAATTTGCTGGAGGCAGCAGCAGGCGAGTGGATTCATCTGGACACACACGTCGTTTGGTGTGTTCTCCAAATACTGCACTGCCCCGTGTGTTCTCCCGATCTGGCCATCACCCCAGCAGGCGCCCTGAGGTGGGAGCTAGGCTCGATGCATGGGGGTTCCTTTGTCCTCCTTGTGCCTGGCTGACTGCTCTGAAGTCCTGCAAAGACCGACGGTGGGGAAGGGGCCTCGGAGTTCACTGGACAACATCCAGGCAGGACTGCGCCATGAACCATCCTGAAAAACAGTTCCTGGACTCAGTCTGGAGACTGATGATCTTGATCAGGAAATCTTTCTTTAGGTCCAGCTGGGGTTTGGTACAGGCCGCGGTCTCTTCAGCTCAGCTGCACAGCCTGAGGGCGGCTGCTGGGTAGACACACAGTGCACACTGGTCTGAGAGCTGCTCCTGCATGGCCCCCTGCGCCCTCCGCTCTCCCTGCTACCTGCTTGTCCTGCGATGCTTGGGCAGAGGTGGGGTGTCCTGCACTCAAGAAGAAGGAAACCCTGGAAAAGCAGGGCTGTGGGGAGGGTGGTGGGTGCCAAGTGGAGGAGTTGGCCCTGCTCGTGGGTGAAGAGGTTGACCGGCGCTGCTCTTGGTGCAAGCGCACGGCCCCTCCAGGGGTAAAGGAGCTTCATTTCTCTTTGTGCCAGGGAGTGGTAGCCTTTGTGTTGAAACACCTGTAAAGTGGCATGTTTCCCTGTTGCCTTAGGAAAGCCCCCATGGTGGGTGTTCTGAGAAAGCCTCTGGAGGCTGGCACTGTGGGGCTTGCAGGGCTGGAGTGGTCTCTGCCACCCTGTGGTCTGTGTCAGGCCCTGTTCTTCACAGCTAACTCCCGCCTCCACATGGAGCGGGTGACCATTGTGCCGAAGTTGCCGTGCAAGGCCTCTGGGGCTGCAGGTCAGAGCTGCTGTCCTGAGTCTCAGCGGTGCCAGGGTGCCGCTGGACCTCATGGAGGCCACGTGCCACCAGACAGAGTGCAGGGCCCAGGACGGCCCCACAGCCAGTGCTGGCCCAGAGACCCTGTGTGGCCTGGTCAGTGGCTTGCTTATGTTATTTTAAAGAGATTTAGGCATGTTTGACTTGCTATCATCTCTGTTCCTACAAGGTTCGGAAGGACTTCCCCATGAGATTTCCTGGGAGTGGGGGAGGTGACGGGGCGGGGTAGCCTGCCGGCTGGGATGATTTATGCCAGTGGAGTGGTCCTGGGCTTGTCCCTGCTGTGGAGGTCCTGCACATCAGGCAGCTGCAGGGCCGGCAGAGCTGCCCATGAGACTCACAGCCAGGGAGCAGACGGGCGCCACTTCTCACGGCTGCTCAGGGCAGTCAGACCCCATCCCCACCCCGGCCCGTGTAAAGGTCATCTGGGTGTTGGTCTCCGAGAGCAGCAGCTCCACATCTGAGCACTAGCCAGGCCTCTGAGATCAGACGAACTGCTAATTTGCCACCCTTGCCAAGTTTAGTTTTGCCCCATCCCTCCCATGCTAATCTATTGCATGTAATAAATTGTAGCGTTTTATGGCTAGACCCTTAACACTTAGTCACAGTTTGTTTCAAATTGTTACTTGGGCTTTTACATTTATAATATTACTATTTGTTTTCATTTGCTTAAATGTGGTCTAACCAACTGGCCTTTTGTCCTGCGTCCCTAGGCCCCCGATAGTTCTTGGTCCCCCTCTCTGTACTGTCTGACCTGGGGTTTGGGGAGCACAGGTCCTGTCAAAATTGTTGAGTTGAAATCATCAATTTTGTAATTGCATTGCTGCAGGACTTCTGTTAAGCATGGGGAGGAGGTGGGACCTGGATACTCCTGGGGGAAGGATTAGGTATGTTCTGCCTTGAAGCTCTTAGTAGTTCCTCAGCAGAGAGAGAACACACTCCAGAGGGCTCAGAGCACAGGTGGGGACTCCAAGTGGGAGGGGGCTTTGGTCCCTGGAGGGCTGCTTGGAGACACCTTTCTGTGTGGGGTCTCCTGCTGGGTCTGGGGCCTCAGGCTAGTTTGACTCCAGAGGTGACTGTTGCCTGTCTCTTCCAGGCAGCTCTGAGATGGGACTAACCTTCGGGATCACTTTTCCTTTTTTGGGAAATTTCTTTCTCGATACACCCACATACCCTGTAACTGGTGGGTGTGGAGGAGAGGCAAATTGCCCAAAAAAGGAAAAAAAATTTTCCAAATGCAAGCAGAGGTGAGGTGGGCTCAGGGCAGCCTCACAGACAAGTGGGAGCCTGAGCAGTTGGGCTGGGCCTCTGGTTCTTTCGGAGAGGACAGAGTGAAGAGTCTGGAAACCCAGACGGCTCCCCTTCTCCTCTGCCTTTGTTTCTGCAAACCCTGTGCTCTGCTGTTCCTGCATCTCTGCCCTTGAGGTGTGGTGCTGGGGTCATTAGAAGGCTTTCCTAGGGGAGCTCCCCATCCAGAGGGGAAGCAGCCCCCAGTCTCAGGTGAAGTCACTGGGCAGTGAGACTTGGGGCGGGGGGAACTTGTGACCAACGAGCTCTGGCAGCCTGTCTCTTGATTTCATTTTCCCTTCCTTCTCCTCCTGGAAGCCAGGCAAAAACACTTGCTGTTGTTGTTTGCTTTTAAACTATGGTAAAATATATGCAACAAAATGTACCACTTTAACAACTACAGCTCAGCAGCATTCAGCACACTGACACTGGTGTGTGCCCACCACCACCATCCCTCCACCCCTCTCTGGAGCTCTTTCCATCTTCCTGGGCCAAAGCTCTGTACCCATCAAACCCGCACCACACACCCTTCTACTTCCTGTGCCTCTGGATTTGAGGACTCCAGGGACCTCCTGTAAGTGGGGTCATGGTATTTGTCCTTGTGTGTCTGGCTTATGTCACTTAGCATATGTCCTCGAGGTTCATTCATGTCGGAGCATATGATACAGTCTTATCGGGAAAGGTCTGATGCAGTTAACTCTGCTCTGAAGCGAACTGACCATGGATCTCTCCTCTGTGAAACCTGTGGAGAGGCTGTGCCCATGCTTCCATGGCAGGGTATGTGGAGCCCTCACACCGTGTGCCCTAAGATTCCTGGAGGCAGCCCAGACCAGAGCTATGCTGAGCCACCTTCACAGGGGCTGTGCTGCTGGCTCTTCAGTGCATGTCACACCCGAGTCATGTAGTGGGGAGAGCTCTGGTAGCCCTCACGTCCCTTGTTGGAGGGCAGCTGTGGGCTCCTCAGTCCCCTGGGCAAGGCACTCCAGCCAGAGCAGTCACTTCGGGGTCTGTGCTCACAGGCGAGGGGGTGGGCTTGGTCTGAGAACTGCTGGGTTGTGGGTCTGCCTCCTTTACAGTTTTCTTCCTTAGGACAGTCCTAGAGGATGCTTGATCCCAGGACCTTTGCCTACTTGGTTTTCCATGAGTTTGGGCCCCAGGGGAGAATGGGGAGGGACTCAGCTTGGCCCGCTGGCCGTGGGGACGCTCCTCTGCAGCCCAGTCTCCATCATACCCCTGCATCAGGGCCTGCAGATTGCAGGGCCCAGGGCCACAGTTTCAGTAGCCAGCCCTGCGATGTGAAGAGGTATAGGCACCAGAGCATCCCTGCTCTAAGTGCTGGCCCTCCCCCCGCCCCCTGACCCCCCGCCTGGAGCTTTCCCAGGCACACTGACTATTCTGATTCACTGGTAACCATGGTGGCCGTCATGTCCACAGTAAAGAGCTGGTGGGAGGACATGTGGCCGTAAGAGGGTCCCTTTCACGGTGAAGCACACAACTCGTTGGGACCCATGTGAATATTAAATACAAAGCTGAACCACAGCGCACACCTTCTTCAGGGCAGTGGGTGGGTTGTGGAGTCAGAGAAGCTTTCTGGAAGGAGTGGGGGCCTTGGCCACCACCCTGCTGGTCGTAGGGGTTG